CCTGTTCCCGGGCAGTTTCTGCCCCATGGGGTCCCACCTGTCAGGAGCCCCCTGCCTGGCCCCCCAGACCCGTGGCCTCCTCCCCTGCAGAGCCACGTTTCTGAGCTAGACGTCTCCTCATTTCCTTTCCCCAGGCCCCCACTCCAGGCACTCGGGCTGCCGGCGGGGGACCGGCCACAGGACTGCGGCTCAGATTTGGGTACAGTGCATGTGAGCAGGGCGGGCACGGCACGGGCTGGGCCTAGAGGCTCCACTCAAAGGCCAGAGCAAGGAACAGAGGGTGTCCGACACCTGGTGACCCCACAGGCCTCTCCTCAGCCTTGATGCCCATGGGGAATTCCTGCCCTGTCTGTGGTCACGTCCCTGGCTCCTCCACAACTGGGGCACACACCTGCGCCTCCCACGCCCTGTCACACCTGCGCCTCCCACGCCCTGTCACCGCTGCCAGTCCCTGCAGGAAACCTCCTGCCCTGCCCTTGGACACATCCCTCTGCTGCTCTTTCACTCTCCACCCCGTGAGAGTCAGGAAGCTGTGGGAAGCCCCCAGGGTATAGAATGAGGAGACTGGGGAGGGCAGGAGGGGCCAGGTGACCCTGCTGAGCTGGCCCACTTCCGAGGGCAGGGGTTGCTCAAGGGGGCAGGGGACAGTAGGGCGGCCTGTGAGGCGCAGCTCTGCCCCGGGAAGGAGTGGCTACCACGGCCAGCAGGGCCAGGGTCCACCCCTCCCACAGGGATCTCCTGGAACCTTGCGTTGAAGTCACACTGACTAGTGGCTGTCACGGCAAGACCCCACCCGCACCTCGACCCGTTGTCTTTGTGCTGCCGTGCGCAGGCCAGGGCTGCCGAGAAACGCCACAGAACGCGCCCGGGGGAGGACGGGGAGCCAGGCCATGCGACTGTCCAGAAGGGGGCCGTGCAGCAACTAGGGAGCAAAGACATTCTCCAGAAGTCTGAGTTGTGGCACCACCCAAAAGATGGGGCTGTGGCCAACCAGGACAGCGGGTTCCTCCAGGCCGTGCCCCTCAGCTCTGCTCCTGGGGCCCTGGTGCGAGTGAGCCCCCACTCTGGCTCTCTAACCACAGCCGTGTCCAGGGACTGACCACACTCGCCCTCCGTCTCAGAACGCCGCGGATCCGGGTGTTGACACCTTCCTTTAATTTTTTTAAATTACTTACTTAACTTTATTCGCCGTTATTGTTATTATTATTTTTAATTCGACTAGAAAGGGACAGAGAGAGAGAGAAAGGGAAAGTGAGAAAGCAAGCCGCCAGGTCCAGGACTTGAACCACAGTCAGCCGTGTGGGAGTCCAGCACCTTAACCACCACACCACCTGCCGGGCCCACCTTACTTTCGAGAGCCCTCGCTGTTTTAAGAGCATATACATGTCACCGAAAGCCCTGGGGCCCAGGCCCGAGGGAGGCAGACCACCAGCTGAGCTCACCTCCCTGACAGCTGGAATGCAGCGGCTCCAGCTCCGAGCTGCTGGTGCGGTTTCCAGCCTTGGCCTCTCCCACACCCTGGGGGGACGGCCACCTCCCCCAAGGGCTGAGGTGACTGCAAGCACTCTTGACCATCCATAACCACCCATCGTGGGACCCCGGATGAGGCAGGAAAGACATCAGAGACGTGGAGGGCCTAGAGAGAGACAGGCCGCCCCACTAACTCAGAGCCCCAAGCCCTGCGCCCTGGCAGTGCTGTGTGCTTCAACAAACCACCAGACAGCCCATGGAGGGAATTGAGGCAGAGCACTCAGGACACCCAGCACTCTGAGCTGTGTCCGGAGACGTCGCTGGCCTCAGAGTCAGCCAGGGAGTTCAGGAGCGCAGTCCCCTGCCCCCAACCTGCAGAGTCAGATCTGTAGTCGGGCCACCGTCTCCAGTGTCCTGGGCTCCTTGATGGTCCTGGGTGACGCCAGAGCCTCTGGAGGATCCAGGCCCCTCTCCCCTGCTTCACTGGAAGAGGGGCGTTTTCTGAGCCCACCCTCTGGGGCCACCCTGCCTGCATGAACCCTGTCTCCACAGAGGCCTTCCCGTCTATAAGTAGCATTGAAGGGGCGGCATCTGAGCCCACCACGCCAGCCGGCAAGTGCTGCCTCTCTGTGTGTGGCCAACCGGCACACATGTGGCTCCCCCAAACCAGCCTTCGTCCAGACGCTGCCTCCGCCAGGCTCCTCCTCATAGCGCTGCCCGCAGGCGGCATTAGGGACACCGCCTTTTCCCTCCCTTTTACAGAGGACCAGCCATGTCACCTCCGGCTGCGCTGTAGACTCCATGCACTCACAGCCCAAACAGCTCGACCCGGTGTCACAGCTCCCAGGCCCCTTGGCACATGCTCTGGGCAGCGTGCGTGGCCCCAGGGCAGTCAGCTTGGGGAGGCCCGCCGTAGCACCCCAGGGTCCCCCATGTCCCTTCTTCACTCCTGCTTCTCTTCAGTTTGCCGCTAGGTCAGCCTTGAGCGCCTCTCCAGGAGGCCTTGAGATGACAGGAAGGCTCCTGGGCCACTTTGCCTCGTGGGCAGACGGGCGTCCGTGACCATCCTCATGCTGAGGAGCCTGGACGCGCAGCCCCTGGGGCCTGGCACCGCCTGCTCAGCTCTGCAGTGAGGTGTGCGGGCGAGGCGCGTCCATTCACCGGGCGGAGGGGGTCGGCAGAGGCCGCTCGCGGCAGGGAGGTTAGCGTGGATGCGAGGGAGTGGCAAGCTGGACCTTTCCACAAAGGCCACTCTGCAAAACCAGGGAAAAAAGGAGAAAAGTCAAATGCTCTCCCCAGATGGTTCCTCACCTGCAGCCGAGCTTCCCCTGAGCAGCAGGCTTCGTGGGGCACTCACTGATGGCCAGGGCCGGGTCCCGATGCCGGGGGCTAGGGGCACACCCGTAGACTCCCGAGGGCTTGTTCCTAACCTCACTGAGGGAATAGTGCAGAGACGGAGTTACCGTTTCTACGAAAACCATTCAATGGAAAACGACACTGCATTCAGCGTGGGCAAGACACCCACTGACGGAGGACCCACCTGGGGGCGTCCTTCCTCTCCCTCTGCCTGACATCCTGGAATTCCACGTCGAGGCACGACACACGTGAGCCTGTCCCAACTGTACCGCTCGACCCTGTGACCACCACGTGTTGCAGAGGGAGAAGGTCCCAGCCCGTGGGGAGTCCCAGGGCCTCAGCAGTTAGCACCCTCCCTGCAAGGACACTGTCAGTGTCCTGTGTGTGGCCACTGCCCTGAGAGACAGCCTGAACTGCAGTGTGGTTGGTACAGGAGGGACAGAGGATGCTGGCCAGCAGGGCTTCCCCACTCCCCGGGACCATGGTCATGGTCCTACACCAAAACAAACAAAACCCATGAAACTGTACACTTTCATGATTGGACTTTGAACAATGTACGCATCTTTTTACTGCATTATTACTGGTTTTCACAACTTTTTCGATTAATCGGTCAGCAACGGGGAAGAGAGCGTTGGCGCCTCAGTGAGTGTGTACGTGGCTCCGCCTCGCCTCCCCAGCTACCCATCTCTGCTCAGTGTGAGACGCTGCCGGAGGGCACTCCACCCTGAGCAGCCCGCGGGCCTTCAGGCCTCCTGAGCCTGCAGGTTCTGCTCAGTGCCTGGCACCCCGCAGAGGCACCAGGGCTCCCGCCTTAATGAACGCAGGAGGCAAGCGGGTGAGTCCAGGACTCACGATTGAACCTGGCACCATGTTGGCGTTTTCTGTTTTCTTTTTAATTTTTAGGAGGTCAGCTTGCATGGTGTCGCTGGGCAGGCCCTGGGGCCTACATGGAAGGCAGGGGAGAGAAGGGGGCAGCACTGGACAGAGGAAGTTAGCTGCAGGGGTGCCGTGTGCGCAGCCTCACCAGACGGAGGGGACCTTGGCTTCCAGGGAGATGACGCAGTTGGGGAAACAGCAAAGAAACCAAAGACACCTTTTCGGACCTGCCACAACTCAGGCTGTGTGGAAGGAGGACACCGAGGGTTGGTTACGAAGGGACTTCCCTGTGAGTGCAGATCCGTGCCCCAGACTGTCAGCTCAGTGGGGACAGTCACCCGGGCTGTGGCCCGACTCTGCAAGCCTTCCTGCAGGGGCTCAGCCAGGCTCTACATGGACCATAGCCAGGAGGGCATTCCAACACGAGGAGACATCAGTGAAGCCTCAGAAACACGGGGGGGATAACGGGGTGGGGGAGAGGCCGAGCTAGAAAAGAGACAGACACAGAGGGGGAGAAAGAGACAGGAGGGAGGGAGAAAGGGAAGGAGGGAAACAAAGACTGAGGAGAGGAGGCAGAGAAGGGGAGGACGGAGGAAGAGGGATGAGAGCAGAGACTTCTCACGCTGCCTGGGGACAGAGCGCTGGGGACATCACGCGTGGTCTTTTCCAGGAAGGGCTTTCCGGTGTTCTTTCTGCTTGTCTCTGTAAATAACCTGAAACCAGCGTCAAGGCTTCTCGGCTCAGCAGTCACGGCGGTGTATTTAATTAAAGCGATGGTTGCGGCTGCGGAGAGGGATCTGCTCGCGCTCGGTCCTCATTGCCCTCCGAAGCCTGCAGCTAGGGGACCGCTCACCCCGACCCTGGAGCCTATTTTCACCCTCTTGATCTGGCCGTGATTAGTAAAGGCAATTAAGGAGTCGGATCAAAGCTCAGAGCCTCGCCGCCTCTCAGATGTTCTCTAACGACCCTGGGAGGGTTTGCAGAAATGAACCTGGAAGGACTGAGCGTGGCCATGAATAAACATCACCTGCAAATTGGTGGAAAAGGCCTGCTTCTACCTTCGGAAAGATGCTTCGAGAGGAGCAGAGGGCCGGGACTGGGAGGCTGGAAGGCAGACCTCCCTCCCTGCTCTCTGGGTACCGTGTCCGTTCTGGGCCAGGTGCACCTGTGACGGTTCTCGGACCCCTTCAGGGTCTCCAAGAGCCCTCCCAGCACCGCACCCCCAAGCTCTTGCTGCGACAGAGCGAGGACACCTGTCTTGCCCTGGTCCCAAAGTTCCCAAAAGACCACCAGGGAGCCGTTCCTTGTAAACACGCAAGGGCCGCTTTTATTCAGGCTCGAGCCAGGACGCCCAGACTCGCTGGCACAGCGGGTCAGAGTTGAGAGCCCCGGTGTTAGCGGGGCTGGGTTTTTATTTGACCGTTGTAGAGGAGGCCGAGGGGTGCTGAGGAAAGCACTCAGGACAGCACGTTGGTTGGAGATCACAGGGAGTGTAGCGTCTCTGGCTGATTGGTTAAAAAACCGTTGAGTTAGGCAAAACCTTACTTTAGGTTTCTGGTATCTCCTTTGTTACTTTCATTGGCCAGTCCCGGTGGGGTGATGGTCTCATGACTTTATGTGTCCGGCTCGCCCAGTTTTGAAAGGTGCCATCCCTCAGTAAGGTGGGACAAAATGGAGTCGCTTTGGTTCTGCTCTGGTCCTTCACACCGAGGGCTCTGAGGCCTACCCTGCACTGTCGTGGCTTTTAAAAAAATAGACAAAAGAATGTTATGGATATTTTACAAGACTTTCTGAAAGAGGAGGCCCCGTCAATATTTACAGGCTATGAGACGAACGTGCCAGGTCGTCCTACCCTCCGGGACCCTCCACAGGGTGTGCAGGGCCCAAAGGTCAGCGCTCACCTCATGGTGAGGCGAGGCCTGCCGGGTGGCCCAGGTTGGCGAGCCGAAGGCCCCGGGAACCAGGCTTCCTGGATGCCTGGGTACTGGCGAAGGCAGGGCAGGGGCTGTGCGAGTTGGAAAGTCATGGCGGCCCCACCCCTAGGCCATAGCCTCCTTCCCTGGACCTCCAGCTCCTCACTGCTAGCTTCTCAGTGGAAGCGAGTGACCAGAAGTTAGGAACTCACACACAGCCCCTCCTGAAGCCCGAGTCCCGTGGACACGGGTCCCAGAGGAGAGTGAGACCCGCTTCGGGGGCCCTCAGCCTCCGTCTGGGTCGTTCGGCCGGTCAGCGGCTCTGTAGACATGGACTGTCTCCTGGCCATCGAGAATGGAGATCTCACAGGCACATTTTAGCAGGGACACGAGGAAGGCGGTGCCGAGGGCCTTCAGAATTAGGGCCCCCACCGAAGGCTTCCAGGGCTCGGGAGGACTTTCCGGCCTGGAGATAAGGAAGGGGCAGTGCCAACACCTGCCAGGAAGATTCTAGGTGCCATGCAGGACAGGCCTCTCATCTACCCTGGACACCCGGGCAGGCAGGCAGCCCTGGAGGGTCACCTGGGGGACGGGGCAGGTTCAGGCACCGAGGGCTCTGTCACAGGGAGAGGCACAGAGACAGTGAGCGTGAGAGAGAGATGGGGGTAACACTGCTCAGACTCCCTTGACCTCCGCGGGTCACAGTGCAGCCTAGCATCTTGCCTGATTACGCCTGCCTTGGGTGCCCGGAGAAGCTCCTTTCCTGCTAACAGGGCCTCTCCCCAGGCTAGCAGGGGTGAGTGTCTGCTCTGCCCAGCCAAGGTGCTCTGGTCATACCAACAGCTAGACCGAGGTCGGGCTGCGTCCCCGGCTCTCCGCCTCGCGCCCCCCTGCCTTGTCTCTCAGGCTTTGTCTCATGAAACCCTTGTGTCTCTGCCATCTCGATGTCCACTTCTCAGCAGACCCGACTGTCACACGTAAATGGGTTGTCAGCTGGGCTGGAGGGACTGACCTGACTCTGCGTGCCACGCCGGGGCGGGCTGGGTGGTGCATGTGGCTTGGTGCCCTGGCAGCTCTGTACCCGCAGCTGTGACTGCAGCTGGCTGCTGGGCTGGGCCTTGTCAAGATTTTAAAGGCTTCAAAGCACAAGATTCCCCTAACAAGAGAGCCGTCGTTATTATGGATCACATGTTAGCACTTTGTCATTCATTAAGACGAATCAATATTTAATATCGTAGCGGGCGGGCTGAAGAGCTGCGCGATGCAGAGGGGAGCGCGTGACTGCAGACAGGCTTCAGTGGCCCCGGGGCCCCGCCAGCACCGGGACGCTTTCCTGGCAGCTGCGCTCCTGACCATGGTGGCTGCAAATTGAATTTGGGAACCAAATGATGATTTAAACTTACCAGGGCAGCTGCCATCTAGCCGGCCCCTGAGGGGAACCCTTGAGAGGTGCAGGACATGCTGGAATTCTGATGAGAGGCCCAGGGACACGGGTGACGTGCGGCGTGTGGCACGACGGGGGCAGCGGAGGGCTGGGCCCGATCAGGAGCCAGGACAGGGTGCAGATGAGCCTCAGTGGCCTCGGGGACATGGGGGCGGAGAGGTCGGCACGCTGGGTTCCCATGTGAGTCCCGCTTCCAAGACTCGGGGCAGAGACTGGGTGACCATGAGACATCTGGAGGTTTGCAGGCCAGGACTGGCTGCACCCAGAGTGGTGACAGGAGGTCACAGGCAAGAGAGCCTGTCGCTTCTGCCAGGTGGTGCTGGTGCCCAGGAACTCGGGCTGCAGTGAACCTAGTGCAGACAGGGCTTGATGCCTACCAGGGTTGAGGTCACAGGAAGAGGCCACTGTGCAGAGGGACCTGGGTTTGCCATTTCATCTATCTCTGCGTGGACGGAGAGTCGGCCCAAGACTGGCCCCAGCCCTGAACGAGAGGGAGGGAAGCTCTACCCTGCCCACACCTCCACCCTGGAACCCTGTCCCCATAGACCTCGGGTCACACGTGGTGGCCGGTGCTAAGTCACACAGCAGCTCTGCAATGCCCGGGCTCCTGACAGAAAGGGGACGGCGTCGTGCCCGCCGACTGCCACGGAGCTGTGGAGCACAGGGAGCCTGGGCCGTGAGCACCGTGGTGGGGAAGCCACGAGACGGCCCAGCCCCACAGCAAGGCCGGTGTCTATCCTGGCTCGGGGCCAGCAGAGCGGAGGCCACTGCAGCCCCAAAGCCCATCCTCCCATGGTGGAAGAGTGAGGCTGGGCAGCTCATGGTTTAGGTAAGTCAGAGGCCAGGGGCCGGCAGGTGGCATGGCGGTTGGGGTGCTGGACTCCCACATGACCAACCACGGTTTGAGTCCTGGACCTGGTGGCTTGCTTTCTCACTTTCCCCCTCTCTCTGGCTCTGTCTGGTGAGTATAGCAAGTTAAAATAATAACAAATTAAATAAATAAATCTTTTTTAACAAAGGAAAGGCGGAGGTGTTAAAGAAGGAAGCAGGTTGGTGGCAACAGGCAGAGCACAGGAGCGACTCCTCCTGCTCACAGTGACGAGGGCAGTCCCAGAGCAGCGTGCCTGCGGGGTCACACACACCCTGAGCTTGGACCCTGTCCTCCGCGGCGTCCCCATCCTGTGCCCGCGGCCGTTGTCAGAGCCACAGCGGGGGCCCCCTCCAGCCGCTGCTTCCGCACAGTTCTGAGCCCAGAGACCCACCTGCAGTCAGGGCAGGCAGGCTTCTGCTGAGGAGCGTCATGGCCCTTCGCACTGCGCCCCCACGTGGCCTTCTGCAGCCGAAGGGAGTGCTCTGAGGTGTCGCCCGCCGATCTGGGGGCCAGGACCCCCTTTACCACCTTGTTTCTCCTGATTGTTTCTCTAACAAGCCCTGCCTCCAAACAGCCGCCTTGGGGGTTAGGGCTTCCACACTGGAGCCTGGGGACACCAGTGCGCGCCGTCACGAGTGGGTGCTATTCTTTTTCACTTGTTTTAATTGTTTTAATACTTATCTATTTCATTTTATTTATCATTTTTAAAAAAATTGTCGCAGTGCATGCGCACTGGCCAGAGAGAGTGAGAAAGCAAGTCACCGGTCCGGACTTGAACCGCAGTCTGCCCTGTGTGAGTCGGGCGCCTTCACTGCCATGCCACCTGCTGACGCGTGGGCACTGTTTTTAGACTGCAGTTTTGAGGCACAGGAGTGACTTCCTCCCGAAGGCACTCGTGCCAGCATCTCTCTGTGAGTGACGGTCTAAGCCCGGCGGCGCGGCTCAGGTGGCTGTGACTGTCCCTCCGCCCTGCGTGCTGCATCCCCCAGCCTTTATGTCTCTCCTGACACGCTCCTCCTGCAGGAAGGTTCTCCGCACCGCTCAGACCCTCAGTCGTTGGCTCCCACTGCTAAGGCTGTTTCAGTCGCTGTCGTGTTCAGCAACTAACGCGCGACCACCAGGCCGCGGCTGCGACGGTGCAGGAATACGCGAGGTCCTGGCAGGGGCATGGATGCGCAGCCCGGCAGGGTGGGCTTCTGACCTGCAGGTACACCCCCACACCGAGTTTACAGGACTGTGACTCTGCTGGGGCGCTCTGAGATGCCCGTGGTGCCGCGTGGACTCGCGCTGTTAGACCATGGATAGTTAGAGGGACTGGTAGCAAGGCTGTCAGCCAGCCTGGCCCGGGGGTCTCCAGCCTGACCTTGGGCTCACGATTACTCATCGGAGAGTGCACGTTACACCAAATATCACCCCACGGCACACCCACCTGGGCGCCTAGATGACTCCTGTCCTAAATCAGACCGTTAAAGAGAACTAGCTGAAAACGCCCGGTGGTAATCGTGGAAAATGAGCTCTCATCCAGACAGCCTTCTGACCTGGCGGGGTGCCCTGGCAGCAGTTTCCGGGTGACGCCCTTACAATAGCCTGAGGGGGACATCTCTAGCTCCAGCGGACGCCACTGAGTCTCTATGACCCAGGGCTGAGCCCGCTCTTGCAGCACGGCGAGGGGGAACGGCAGAAGACAGGAGGCACCCGGAGCCCCGCCCTGCCCCTCATCCGTCGGCTTCACCTTTCTAATCTGTAAGCACATGTGCGCTCCGTGGCCACGCAGATGTGGCATTAGTTCTCGAATGTTACTTCCTGTTTGTTTCAGAGGCCGCGTTGCAGACCCCACGTCCAGAGGTCCTGTGTCTCCTCCGTGTGGCTCTCATTTCAGAGCACGTGCTGCCGAAGCCAATGCCGGAGGTTCTGTGTCTGAGATGGGACCCGAACCCTCCCTCCAGCAAGCTGCCAGCGTGGGCAGTGCACGCTGAGACACTTTGGAGAGCAGGGCCGTGAGCAATGCCGGACAGCAGTGGGGCCAGGCACCAACACGAGCGAGCTGCGACCTGAGGTCACATGGGCAGAGCACCCTCGGGAGCAGACCTGAGAGTGCCCAGGAGCTTGACCGCTGCCTGCCCTGAGTAGAAGAGGGTCCGTGCTGGCTGTGAGCTAAAACGTGGGGCCAGAGGGCAGTGCCGGCCTTGCTGGGACATGGGGCTACTTTCCAGCACATGAGCGGCCTGTAGGTTGTCCATCCTGCCGTGATTCGGGCATGCACACACATGTGCCACGTATGTTTCCTGAACTGCCACATCTGGGATTTGAACCATGTCGGCCATGAGGGATCTGGCTCCCTTAACCACCAGGCCAGGTGCAGACTCTTTTTGGCAAATTTTGTACAAACAAAACAACGTGAAATGAAAGCACTTCATAACGATAAACACCTTTCCTAATGCGATAGAATCCTCAAAGGTTTTGTGGAACATATGTATTTTTAATTATGCCTAGATTTTAATTCTTTTTGCACAGAATAAACTTGGGCTCTGATCCTTCTTGCCCACAGACTTCCTGACATGCCCACGTATATCTCCCCCGCTCCTCTCTGCAGGCATGTGCAGCGCAGGGTTCCTCCTGGCCCGTGAGTGGATAGGTCAGAAGTGCAGTGCTCTGCTCCTGGGGACCTGCGAGGCCTCGCGTGGGAACCGTTGGCGGGGACCTCCCCAGGCACCGCTGTAGTGCACGCCGTTAGAAGTGTCACCTCTGTGGCGTCACCGAGAGCAGCCCCACCTGGAGCCACCGCACTGGAGTCTCAGCCCTAACCCCCAGGTCACGAACGACCTCTGCGTCTGGCAGGACCCACCCGGACTGGGTCTCTCTTCACAATCATGGCTGCAGTATGCAGCGGAGTGGCTTGCCAGGCCAGACGCCTGCGGAAGCTGGCGACAGAGGCGGGGCCCGAGCCCGCGCCCTGCTCTGCGTGCAGTGTTCCGCCCCTCCACACCTGCCAAGCCTCGTCACTTGTCGGCCTGCTGCCCACCACATCTCCTCCTGCCCCCACCACCCTCCTGCATAGAGCCCTTCTCTCCTGTGGACTCGTTCGCTCAAAGAGCATTGCGGGGAAGGGGAGAAGAGATTCCCGCCTGCTCCCCCCGCCTCTCTCCGTCCCCAGCACTCCTTGGCCCCAGGCTGCGAGGCCCTCAGGTTCGGCCCGTCTCGCTGCTCTGCACCTGCTACCCACCACAGCACAGGTGGCGGGGACACCAGGGCGGCCCGCTCGCTCGGTCAGGGCCGGTGCGCCCTGCAGACCCGGAGCCCGCAGTGTGGGCAGCTGTTTCCTCAGACGGATGACTTCAAAGGAATTTACAAGGCTTCGGAGACCTACGTGCTCTTAAAACCTAAAAGCCAGTCTTGATAATGAGCTTTGAGAAAGCACATTAACCCACAAAGCCGAAGGTGGTAGCTTGGACAAAGAACCTCACTGAAGAGGCCTGTGGTCCTGCTCTTTTGAAAACTTCTGTGCGCAGAGAAGGGGTGACTCTCGCCCTTCGTATTCAGCGCGCCTTCCTCACACACTTGGGGTGAGCCAGGAGCAGAGGAAGCGCAGGGCCTGAGTGGTGCTCAGGTGCCGTGAGGAGAGCGGCCCGACCCTGCAGCCAGCATTGACTAAACGCCTCCATCCCGCCACGGCCGCTTCCAGGCAGCACGGTGACAGTGACAGTGACCGAGGCCAAGCGCGTGCTCTGTGGCTGAGTCCTGGAGGTGCGGGGAGACCACCTCTGCCCGGGTGGCCTGGGTAGGCGACTGCCGCAGGTGGGGTGGCGGTGAGTGATGTGAGAGGGAGTGAAGGGGGCGGGAAAGGAGTGCATTTGAGCAAGGAACTGACCAGACGCCGTGGAGGGAATGGGTGCAGAGGAGGAGCAAGTGGGGGCTGCAGGCCTCATCCCCAGCAGGAGAGCCACAGAGCCAGCGGCCACCCCAGCAGGCCCCACGTTGTACTAGAGGCAGGATGGGGTGGCCCAGCTCCAGGTGGGCGTCACACACGCTCCTGTCCACGCGTGGCAGCCCCGCCTCCTCTCTAATGACTGACTGGGGTTCCCAGATCTAGACCCCGCCATGCAGGTGTGTCTTAGCCACAGTCCCACCTCGGCCAGGCAAGCAGGTAGGGCGCCACTGGGAGTCTGGGAAGGAGAGCGTCCTGGGAGCACCCGGCCACACTCCCAGGAAGGGGGTGGAGCTGCGAGAAGCTAGTTCCGTGGACAGGAGCACAGATGAGATGGACCCGGGCCTGGATATAAACACAGATCAGATGGACCCTGGCTCCCTGACAAACCCAGCCAGGCTCTGAACTCCTGGCTGTGCAGCCCCAAATCCCAGCTGTTAGGGCCACCCGAGATCTTTCCACAGGGACGCTGATGTCACGAGAACCCTCGAGGCACCCAACACAACGTCTGCAGTCCTCCAGAGCCAGCCTGGTCCCTGCCCTCCTCCTGGCTCACTGCCCACCTGCCAAGGGCGGGGAGGTCAGGAGCACTTCTCGGCCCCCTAGAGGGGCCAGGCCTCCTCAGGGTGGAGGGGGAGCCGGGAGAAGCGCAGGCGGGCTGTTGCTAAGCTGTCCTGCCCTGCGGATTGCTCCGTCTCAACGTCGGCACACACGAAGGCCGTCCTTGGTGCCAGATGTCTGCCTTTGGGCCCAGCCTGACAGCAAGGCCGTAGCGTGTCAGACTGAAGATTAGAGGCCATGCCAGGGACCACGGGTTCGGATCCCCAGGTAGGCCTGAGAGCACACTGGTGTGCACGTAGGTGCCCCAAGTCCTGAGGGGCTGAGGGCTGAGGGCTGGGGAAGGGCCTCCGAGCACGGTGAAGTGAAGATTCACTCGTGCACACGTGTGCTCTCCGTGTCTATCTAGTGACATGATTTACGTGTATCTCTTTATACATAGCGTGTGCGTGTGTGTGCGTGTGTGTGTACCTGAGAGGTTTCAAAGTCCAAATCATAATCACACGCAATCCTTGGCAGGCTCACATGGAATTGATTCATGTGGGGCTTCTGGAAATTTCTTGTAGGATTTAAGAGGAAAGAGGGCAAAGTCATTCTGTTCCCCATGACTCATCAAATCACTGGAAATTCTGTCGCGTGTTCAGAAATCAAAGAGGTGCCTGAGCTCCGGGCTAGAGGCTGCAGGCCAGAGAACGCCTGCTGGGGCCCTGGTCTGGCCTGGGGCTCCTGTAAGGCCTCCCTTCCTTGTCCCCTCAGCCACCTCCGTCCTTCAAGGCCTGGTTCAAATGCTGCCTCTCGTGCTGAACTCCACCTAAAAACCGTGGAGTCCCGCTAGGCCCGCTGCCTGTGTGTGCCCCAGCGTGCAGACCACCGCTCGCTCAACATGCGTGTCCTCTAGGTCCCAGCCTCCACTCCCCGGAAGCCCAGGCTCATGGGAGAAGGCCCAGGGTCCCACCTCCTCTGCAGTGTTCCCCAGAACCCCCTGCAGTGTGCCGGCCCCTCCTGCGGGCACCATCTCCTCCATGCGGTGCCTCCAGACTTGAAGGCCAGGAGGAGCACCACCCTCGCGTCTTCTCACCTGGCAGGAGTCAGACCGGAGAAGAAAAGAAACAGCAGCGAGGCCGCAAGACGCCAACCAGCGCAGATGGTGGCGCAGGGATAATGTCCCTGGACCCACATGGGAAGGCCTTGGGTTCACATCCTGGGACCTCCCTGTACACGCCAGGTGCATGAGTGTCCATGGCCCTGGGCCACCAAGGGTGCTTCTCTCCCTGTGTGGCTCTCATAGGTGAATACACTTTTTTAAATTTAGGTTAACCTGGTGGATAAGAGCCCCTCGGGGGCATCTACCCTAGGCTCCGGGTCACCACGGAGGGGCCAGCTTCTCTGAGGGGCAAGTGCGATCTGAGGTTGACAGGGAGTAAATGCCACCGGAGTCCAGGGCTGCTTGAGGCAGAGCTGAGAGCCCCAGCTGCCCTCCGGGGAAGTCACCAAAGAGACCCTGTGCATTCCCATGGAGCTGGGACAGGCTCTTCTCGGAGACCCTGGAAGGACCAACTGTGTGACAGGGGCGGCCTCGGAGGCTGGCCCAACTGTGAGCGAGCGTCTCTGTTTGGGCCGCTCTACCCACCAGGGCTCGAAGCCCCCACCCGCAGGTCCAAGCACCTCCTGCTCCGGGGGGGGGGGGGCCTGTATG